GTATATTGTAAGGAACTGACTCATCTCATTGTGGGGATTGGCTGAGCTAGTCTGAAATCCATAGGACCAACTATCAGGAGGAGCAGTAGCTGAAGCTGCAGTTCACAGGTAGAACTTCTTTTCCTCAGGGAAACCTCAGTTCTGCAAATAAGGCCTTTCAACTGATTGGATCAGCCCCACCCAGGTTAATCAATCTCCTTAAAATCAACCCATCATGGATACTAATCACATTGAAAAATACCTCCACAGCAACATCTAGATCTGTTTTTTGTTTCTTTGTTTTATTTTGTAACCTAGACTGACTCAGGACTCTGGATTGTCCTGCCTCAGCCTCCCAAATGCTGGGATTATAGGTGTTCACTACACCCATCTTCTAGATCTATGTTTGATTTAATAATTGTAACCACAGCCTAGCCTGAGCATCACAGGCTTCTGTTGCCCTTTTTGCTTGAGCTCTCAACACACCTTCCCTCACCCCATCTCACCTCAAGGAGCATTCCCCTGCTCTGGCCTTTGTTTCAGCTCTCCTCTGTTCAGGTTGCCATCCTTGGTCTCACAGGGCCCATTTCCTGCAAGGCCCTTTCTAGATTCTCTCAATTTGATTTCACTTTTCATTCCCTTATTACTAACCCTATGTCTGTATTTTGTGCCTGCTAGGAGGAAAGGATTGTATATTGTTCATCCTGTGTGACCTACCTCCAGAGGTCCTGATATATAGGAGCTCAGCACATTTCTATTTGTTTTATTTATTTATTTGTTGGTTGGTTGGTGGTACTGGGGTTTGAACTCAGGGTTTTGTGTATGAATTCAAGTTTCGATCCTTTCTCAGGTTATTGAGCCACAGCTTCTAGGTGGCCACCCAAGGCATGTGGGGGAGGGGAGTGACAGGGGGTACAAAAACATCACATACTCAGTGTTGCACTCTTCTGCTACACTATGATTTGGGGTAGGTCAGGGGTATTAAATGTCTTTTTGACTAATGCTATTTTCAATTTGTGACAGGCTTATCAAGATGTAACCCCATCATAAGATGAGAAGCATCTGCATTTGTACCTAAGAAAGCCCACCCGTCCCCCCAAAGTAATGTCCAACCACATACGTTGTTTAACTTTCTAGAGAGAATAAAGTACAGCATTACCCCCCACACTTACACTCTGGAATAACGTGATGAGATTACTGAGTATGGGCTCCAGTGGGATGTGAGGTCTTAACCTAATGAGCCCAGACTTCTGTGATCGTTCATCTGGAGAAAGGATCTACAGTGGTCACAAAATTCTCAGAGGGTCTGTGTGCCTTGGCTTTCCATCATTGTGACAAAAATATTTGACATAACCAACTTACAAGGAGGAAAGATTTATTTTGGCTTATCGTTTCAGAGATTTCAGTTCCTTTCACTTTGGGCGGTTGGTAGCACAGCATATCAGAGCAGGAGCACATGGCCAAAGAAGTCTAGTCCATTCATGGCAGGTGGAAGAGTCCAGCATCTCCTGCAACGCCAAGCCCCCAAATAACCTTACTTCCTTCCACTAGGCCCCACCTCCTAAAGGTTCCTCCCAATAGTGCCACATGCTGGTGACCAGATCCTCAGCCTTTTGAAGATATTGAAGACCCAAACCATAATACAGTCCATGATTTCCAAAAGGTTGAGATTCATAAACAATGTCTCTCTCATTCTTCTTTTTCCTCTTCCTCTTGTTTTTTTGAGATGGAGTCTCCCTGTGTTGCCCAGGCTGTTCTCAAACTCCCAGACTCAAGCTATCTTCCTGCCCCAGCCTCTCAAGTGCCAGGACTCCGACTGCACACCATCTCAGCTCAGCTCATTATTCTTCTTAAACTCCATTGCTGGTTCACACCTTTTCTTCCCGCCTGGGGAGACCTCCCTCTTCCCCATCACTGCCCTCAAAACCCTGCTCATCTTTCAAGGCCTAGTTCATACGCTTCCATCTCCAAAAGTACCTCCCAGGATACACAATGAAGAAGGAATCAGGTGGTTAGGGTGCTTTCTTAGCAAGGACAAGGCCCTGGGTTCAATCCCCAGTACCAGCAATTAAAAAGAAAAGGATATTTTTTACCTCTGAACCTGCATAACACCTTGGACATCGTAGGAGACTTCTAGTCGCCTCTCCAAAATCCACTCTCCTCTTCTGGGCACAGGGCCATCTAACAAAACATTTCCTAGACTTTTATGCAGCTAGGTATGACTCACAATGAAGCTCTTGCCAAAGGGAGGTGACAGAAAGTGAGATGGACAAATTCCACATCGCTTGCTGAAAAGGAAATCCCTTACCTGGACCTCTTCACTTTCCCCCTTCCCATGAACAGGAATGTGGGTGTGCCTGTAACCTAGCATGGAACCCCATAGTCTCACTGGCCTAGACCAGCCAGCCTGTTTGGTATGCAAGAAAGAAAGAATTTTGTCTCACTTGAGCTGCTGTATCTTTAGTCTCTTTGTTACAACAGCTTATTCTTTATCCAAACACAGGCTTCTTCTCCATGGTAGTGCGTTCAACTGCACTGTGCCTTTTTTTTTTTTTTTTTTTTTTGGTGGCACTGGGGTTTGAACTCAGGGCCTCACGTTTGCTATGTGTTTATTGCTTGAGAATGTATATTCCATGAACAGAGGGGGTTTTGATTATTTACTGCTGTATTTTTAGTGCCCATAAAAGTGTTCAATAGTTCTTGGATCACATGGCTGACTATCAAGATGGCACCGCAGAAAGACAAGAAGCCTAAGAGGTCAACTTGGAAGTTTAATTTGGACCTTACTCATCAAGTAGAAGATGGAATTTTTGATTCTGGAAATTTTGTAGGATACCTTCCCTAGTGAATATCTAGGGTTTTCTTCCCTAGTTTTGCATTTTATCTGTTTCACAACAGGAACAATTTCGTCGGGAGAAGGATAAAGTTAATGGAAAAACCAGTAATCCTGGAAATGCTGTTCACATTGAGCGCTTCAAAAACAAAATCACAGTTGTTTCTGAAAAATAGTTCTCTAAAAGGTATTTGAAATACCTTACCAAGAAATACCTTAAGAAGAATAATCTTTGTGATTAGCTTCATGTAGTTGCATCTGACAAGGAGACTTATGAACTTCGTTATTTCCAGATTAGTCAAGATGAAGATGGATCTGAATCTGAGGACTAGTTTGGTCTCTCCTTCAGGGAGACAAGTAGACTTATTTTTATCAGTGAATAAAAACATTGTACTCTTTTAAAAAAGTGTTCAAGAAATATTTATTCATTCCTTGGGGGCAAATGCTTTGTAGCTCCCTCAATGTCTCATTCACTACCTTGTATGCAATCAATTTTACTCATTAAACATTTGGTGAGTGAACTATGATGGAAGCACACTAACATTCTGCCTTGCATTTTACTTCGTTCTCCAAGTATTCCTATACATATGGGGCTACATCCCATTTCTGGGCTTGTGAAAAGTGTGATCAAAGGTCACAAACATGGCTGAAATGGCAGTAAGTCAAAGGAGGCTGCTTGGAGTAGTTTCTGCCTGAATATTTGAGAGCACCTGTCAGAGCCTCTCTGGGTCTCAGATTTGCCATGTGTACAATGAAGCTAGTAAACTAAATGAAGACCCCTTTTATTTCTAAGATTGGTAGTTATCAATCACTTTCTTCTTCTTCTTTTTTTTTTTGTACTGCTGGGAGTTGAACCCAGGGCCTTATACATACTAAGCACGCGCTCTACCAACCAAGCTATAGCCCAGACCAAATGGTCAGTTTTGATTCTAAAATTGTAGGATTTTTCACTGACTTCTCCTAATCTATGGTTAGAACTTGCTTACTGAAATGTGATATAAGAATAAAAGCTCACATTGATCCAATAAACAAGCATGATTATTAAAAAAAAAAAACCAGTGTAAAACTAGCAGCATGACCTGAGGCAGCCAGGATGAAAAAGTAGACTTTCCGATTCCTCAGGTGTGTTTATCTGAAGTCCCATAATATACTATATTTTCTTTCCTTTCCAAAAGTTAGATAAATCAGATCCTTACCACCCAGACATTTCTTTTTTGTTTTGGCGGCACTGGGCTTTGAACTCAGGGCCTCAAGCTTGCTAGGCAGGAGCTCTGGAAAATCCTTACTCCTTCACTTGTTTGAACATACTTAGTCCCAGCATTAGAGGAAAAAAAACCCCTCAACTTTCTCTTGCAGTTTCTCTGGATGACTCAGGCAGCAAGCCTTCAGTCACTTTCCTTCTGGGACTTGTCTTCCAGGCAAAGGCAGTACTTTGTAATTACAAAGGGTAAACAAGCCCTTTGCCTGAGTCTGTGTAATGGGTGTCTCTGTGATGTAAAGTGCTTTAATTCAGCCTTCTGATTATAAAGAGATGAAGATAGTGCTCAGAAACCTGCACGCTCATGTGACTGTCATCGTGATGGTGTCTGGCTTGTATCATGTCGTGTGTGTGTGTGTGTGTGTGTGTGTGTGTGTGTGTGTGTTGCTGGGGCTCAAACCCAGGGGCTCACACCTGCCAGGTAAGAGCTCTACCACTGAGCTACCCCTCCAACCCGGATAAACAAGTTTCCTAAAAGGAAACTCTCAGTCGGAAGCCTGGTGTGTTGGCGCACGACTGTGATCCCAGTACCGGGGAAAGTGGAGTGGGGGTTAAGGCAGGAGGATCTCGAGTTCGAGGACAACCTGGGATACGTTGTATGACACTGTATCAAAACCCCCAAAAAACAAAAACCCTGTAAACCACAGAACCAGACTTAGTTTTTTGCGCTGAAAGAGGAAACAATTAAGCGTGGTCACCTCCAGGTCTGCAGGAAGGATCTGGCCCTCTACGTCACCGATCTCTCTCCACCCACATCCTTTCACCCCCAGTGAAACGTCTCCACGCTCTCTAGCCGGCTCTCCCTTACCGCTGGGCTGCCAGGAGGCGGGGCTAGTTCTTAGCTCATCTGGGCTCAGGCCCTCCAGCTAATACCGGAGATAACTGGAGGGAGGCGAAGCCACGGTTGGGCTCCGCCCCTCGTGGCCGCTCAGCAAATCGGAGCGGAGGGGTGTGGCCTTCCCCGCTGATCCCGCCCCCCTCCTCCCCGGCTCTGGGTAATTTAGAGCCGCGCGCGGGGCGGGAATGTAAGATGGCGGAGTAGCAACGCAAAGCTGTTAGTATTAGGTGTCTGGGCCGACTTCGGTTCTGATCTCCGCAGCAGCAGCAACCGCTGAGTGAAGAACGCCTAGGGTTATTTGCCCAAGATGCCGAATATCAAGATCTTCAGCGGTAGCTCCCACCAGGATTTATCCCAGAAAATTGCTGACCGTCTGGGCCTGGAGCTAGGCAAGGTGGTGACTAAGAAATTCAGCAACCAGGAGACCTGGTAAGGGCGAAGTTGGGACCCCGATCAGCCCTCACCTGTGCAAGCTGTGCGGGTTATGGGGAACGGGGCCGTCGCATCAGTGCCGGGGAACTCGGGGAGGAGGGAAGGTGACAGCGCTGGTGAGGGTGCCCTGCGGGCTGTTTCCGTTATTTTACCTCTCGCGGGAGGGTCACGTTCGTTCTCACCGTGCGGTGGGGTGGAGTCAAGATGGAGCATGAGGCGAAGCCCTGCTAGGTTTGAAGGGAAGGATTAGAAGACCCAGTGCGGGAATAGTGACTGCTCAGAGCGATGGGAAGGGAGAGACGTTTAGTCTGCGCTGCGGGGACACGTGGCTTGTCGCTTCTCTGTTGAGCCACCCAGGCTGAACTGGGTTAATTTCAGCTCTTGGACTAGTGTGCATCGGAGAACCTACCCAGTTCTGAGTCCTCAGGGTCTTTTAGAGTCTAAAAAGCAGCTTTTCAACTCGAAATGCTATCGATCGGGTTTGGTGTTTCGGGAAACTGACATTATGTACTGAGGGCGCGAAAATACGACTTCTCTTAGACTGGCAAGTGTTGGCTTTAGAATCACCTACTGAGTAATCGGAGCCACCCTTACACTAAATCTTGTCGATCTCTAGTTGGCCGGATAATAAAGTGTTGATTAACTCTGCATCCTTGATAGCTAGCATCTCAGTTTGAGTCATCCCGAAAGTCTTAGGGAACGTTCACAAAGACTGGAATGGAATCTTTGACCTTCCCCTATGCAGCTACCGCTACACATATACAGTAGCGCGTTTTCAGCAACAGAACTTACCCACTTCTTTTAGTGCTGTTGGTGGGAGGGAATTTATGTAACAATTTTACATTGGAACGGTACAGTAGTTAAGTACAGACAATGCAGGGGAAGAATTGTATGAAACAGTGCGTTGCAATTTGACTTTTTTTCCAATGCTTTGCCTCTGAAGTTCGCTCCCCACTTCCACCCGCCACATGTACTATTGGACCATCTTAGGGATAACTTGGTTACCTGCATCTTTTAATGCCCCTGACAGTTAAATGTGGAATATTCTTGTGTTTTGTTAGCTATCCTGTCGATCAAATCAGAGCACTGCCTAGTCTTACAGATACAGTCATCTGTTAGGGGTCAAGTTCTTACCTAATGATCAGTTAAATTAGATAAGATTACTTCAAACAGTTTTTCCAAGATGCTTTTTACTCTTTTTTTTTGTTTTTCACGCACGTGCTAGGCAAATGCTCTGTTGAGCTACATCTCAGCTCCAAGATGTCTTTCACTCTTGCTTTCTTCTTTAAACTGATTTCCTTATCTTTTTTAGACCTAGCTGATAAAAATATCCAACTGTAATGGATAGCTTCTTCCTGGATTAGTGTGTTGCTGATTGTGATGTAAATCATAGTGCAAACACTGATACCATCTGTAACCAGGCAATACCTTAGTTAAAAGAGGCTTGCTTGCAAGCTGCTCTATGCAGCTTTGACCACACCATTATGCTTTATGGGCCTTCATAAAGAAGACAAAACAGGACCAGACTTTGAGAGTGGCAGCGTAGCTAGGGGACAAGAATGGTTTTTTTTACAGGTTTTCTTTGGCCCCTGTGGTTATGAAATCCTTTTCCAGTGCTTTCAAGAAAAGTATGAGGACTATTTTCTCCTGCAAATCCTTCTGCTCTCTGTAATGTAACACACCAGACAGAACCTGAGGCTGTATTATTGCTGGGGAACAATTTAGTTTTCTACTGATTGATTTCAATTAAGCCCAACATGGATAATTGCTGACAGGCTACTTTCCTTGTTTCTGCTTAATCAGTACCTTTTTTAGTTACATACATGTTCTGCAGTCTTTACTGAACATAAAGCCAATTTTTGTTTTTTCAAAGCTGCAGAAATTCTAACTTCTCTCCTTGTGACTCTTGGGATTTAAAAGTCATGGACAGGCCTATTCACTGGGGGGGAGGGGGGTTGGGAGGTCATCAGATGATGAGTTTCAGAGCCCATCCTCAAATGAAAGAATTTTGCTCTTGGCTATAATTTGGCAGAAGCTCTGGGTTGAGTAGGTTCTCTTCTGAAGTCAGGATCTTTACTGATTAGTTGTTTAGGAAACATACATTTACCTAGGAAAATATATACATTCACGGTTTGTATGTGTATGCTCACATGCAGACAAGTCAAAAATTAAGGTGCTAGACCGAATACTCAGGAGACTGACTCAACAGTCTGGTCTTAAAATTTTAAGGTGATTGATAGAATCAGAGAACCTGAATTTGAATCTTCAACCATCCTTTGCCTTGGTAATCTCCTATAAAGCCAGATTATATCCAGGATTAAATGAGAGAGGAGTAAGTTTCTTAGAACATCGTTTAATACATAAATGCAACAATAAATGTTGGCGAGAAGGGATGTATTGTGGAAAATGTACTAACTATAGAAGGCAAAAGAAAAAAGCGACATACCCTTTTCCCAATTCCACTACCCAAAATAAGTTGCTCACGTTTTGATTTATGATCTCCAGGATGTTTATATATGTGTGTGTTTACATACTTTTCCAAAATGTTAGGGGCTGGAATTGTGGCTCAAGTGATAGAGCACCTGCCTAGCACCCCTGAGGCCCTGAGTTCAAACCCCAGTACCGCAAAAAAAAAAACAAAAAAACAAAAATGTAGAACATTGTTTACAAAACAGTTACATTATATTCCCATACATGCATATAGCGTACTTTGATCAAATTCACCCCTTCCATTACTTTCTTAATACCCTGCCTCCTCCCCCAGCAATATAATTTGAATAGCTTCTCCCTTCAATATTTAGTTTATATGATTTTAAATAGCTGTATAGATTTTATCTTATACCATAATTTTATTTATTTTTTGGTGATGCTGGGGATTGAACCCAGGGTTTTGTGATTGCTAGGCAAGCAACTCTACCACTAGAGCCACCGCTCGCCCCATTATACCATACTTTTAGATAACTAAGTTTCTATTATTAGATATTTTCAATCTTTTTTTTTTTTGGTGCTACTGAGGTTTTGAACTTAGAGCCTCACTTGCTAAGGAAACACTGTCACGTGAGCCATCCCCCCACCCCCCACCCCGGCCGCGCACTGCCGCATTTTCAATCTTTGATGTAAAGTTTTTATATGAGAACACTTGAACATAAATCTTTTTGAGCATTTCAGATTATTGCTTCAGAATAAATCCATAGAAGTACTAGGTTAAAGGATATACCCTATTTTTCAGGCTTTTGATACTTGTCAAATAATTCCGTAGAAAAGATAAACCAATCTCCAGTCTCATCAGCAAAAATAACAACCTTAATATTTAAGGACTGGAGGTGTGTCTAGCAAGAGTGAGACAGGAAGCTCAAGAGTGAGACAGGAAGCTCAGAATTGAAGTACAGGGATGCATAGGAAGCACTAGTTTTTAAGTGAAGCACTTTGTATACATTGTATTTAATCCCCTCAACACTGCTGTGAGGAGTTTTTACCTCAGTAAAAGTAACAGTTTACAGAGGCTGGAACTAACTAACCTTCAGAGGTTAAGTTTGCCAGACTCTATAGATAGCTATTGTTCTTTTAAAATTTTGCCTGTATGAAATCTCACCTGGATTTAAAAAGTTTTGAATGTACTAAAATTTTGACTCTGTTCTCTTCAATATTGATAAATAACTGGTTTATTTGGCTGTTCTGTGTTGGCTGAGAAAGACTTTAACTTTGGTTGCCTAGGCTTTTCCTCAGCACTGTTTGTCCTTTGGTTAGTTAATCTCATGTATTTTGTACATGGCAACATCTCCATAGTCAGAATTCTTGGGATTTTCTTAAGAGTATAATCTACCTTTTAGATTTACTTTATTTGCTTTTTGTGTTTCTCCACATCCACTGCTAGTTGAATACACTTAGGCCAGATGCGAAAGGGAAGGAAATAGAAGCTAATTTTCTCACTTGTCGACTAGACATAGCTAGCCTTCTGGCCTCTTCAAAACAGCTGGGAGAATGATTGGTCCAAGACCATTTGGAGAACACCCCATTAACTAGATGGAGAGTGCAAAAAGTGTTACCCTCCTAATTGCTGAACTAGATCTTTTTACCTAATTAGGAAGCAAACAGGCTTTAGGCACAACTGTTCCTCAGTCAGATCACTGAATAACTTATCTCTAAGACTAAGAGGAAACCATAGGAATAATGTTGAGATTTTTGGAGGATTCATTGAACTGTATAATCTGAGTGGAGCGTGGGCCTTTAAAGGCTTTGCCCAAGTCTCCATGTTATAGTACCACTACAGAAAGGCTGTTCTTCATCAGTGACAGAGCAATTATACCCAGTAAAACAAGGCAGTGTCCTAGTGTATTTGCACCAGCTTTTCTTTTCTTTTCTTCTTTCCTCTGCTCTTCCTTCCCACCCTCCCCTTCTCTTTCCTCCCCTGCCTTCCCTCCCCTCTTCTCTTGCTGAGGGCTGAACCCAGGACTTCGCATGTTAAGTACTTGCATTGTCTTATATTTAATATAAATAACCTTTCCGAGTTATTAAATTGCATGTTTTTCCACAGCAAACATCCTTCACTACTGAGGGTGAGTTAACAGTTTGGCTTTGGGGAATGGCTGAACCTTTGGTTATTAAGTCACATAACAAAAATGATATTAGCAGTTATTGGATGGCGAGCTGATAAGTGATATTTATGTATTTATTTAGAAGCAGGGTCACGCTGTGTAGCCCAGGCTGGCCTCAATTCTCGATCCTCCTGCCTCAGCCTCACTAGTGTTGGAATCACAAGTGTAGGCTACCACATCTGGCTCTGTGCATTTGTTCCCTCTCCTAGTTAAAAAATCGCTTGCCTAATCACTTTAGGCAAGTGAATGCCTGAAGCACAGTGACATTCCACTTTTTGTTTTGTTTTGTCTTTGAGGTACTGGGGGGTTGAACCTGGGGCCTTGTGTCTCCTAGGCAGGCACAGTACCACTTGAGCCATAGGCCTTTGATACCAGCTGTAGAGAGCAAAGTTTGTTTATTTA